ATAGATAGATAGATAGATAGATAGATAGATAGATAGATAGATAGATAGATAGATAGATAGATAGATAGATAAAAAAATCCTATTGCAAACTTAGTCTGACTAAATCAGCTTCTGAATCACAGTAGCTCTGCCCCTTCTTGTACATTGCAGGGTAGAGGAACCCAAGCCTATCGAAGCCTTCCTCGGAATGCGAGTGGCTGGACTGCTCAGTTTCATAGAGAGTTGACCCGATCCTCCCTTAGTGCTAACCATCCAATGGTGGACCGATGGCTTGACCGACAGGAACAGGTAGGACAGTGGATCARCACTAAATTATGTGATCACATTGTTTTAAATTGAATAATTAGACAGAGCTAATACTATAGTGTGTAGAGGTAGATGTATAGATTTAAAAAATGAACCAAGTTATTTTTACTAATCTGGAAAGTTATTCACTGAACCAAAACTGATTAATTTTTCCCTTAATACTGAAATTCTGTTTAATGTAGCAGTAATTCTTTTATTTTAAAACTCATCATGGCAGTATACATTTTAAATGTAAGACTTACAAGATACATGATTTTTACAAAGATACAGTGATCCAAATAATACCTACAAAATGGAAAATTGACAGTGGATAAGATAAATCTTTCATTTCCTCATGTAAAAGGCATTCACTAGAATCAGAATTGGTAAGAGTTTGTAAAGCTCTGTGCTACAACTTAATAATAAATCCTGAAACACCTCAGTGACCTTCACAGGCCACGTCTGAATGCTCTAGTCAAATTTAAGTCACTACTGAGTAACTTTTGTGTCTACCAACAGATCAGATGTGCACTTTTTGTCTTCTAATTGTCACATCTGTTTTTTAAAGACTTTTAGATAGTCTCATTCCTAGCTGTTGTCATTTGTAACCTTTTAAAATTATTTAGTTAGCCCGGAAAAACAAAAATACTATCTTAAAATGGATAGATGGATAGACAAATATTTTATAACTTGCAAAACAAAATATGCATATTAATAAACTTTACTAGAAACAGTACTCTTAGCCACYCATCTATTATTCATCTGCTCTTATTGGAAAGGCATAATAGAGTCAACCTAAAAACAGAATCTGAAAGTATATGCATTCAATAATATTCAGATGAACACATTCTATCTTTACTTTCATTCCCTTGAACACACATCCCTTCTAAAAGTCATCTGCTTAAAGGGGAAAGCATTGAAATGATTATAAAGACAAAATAATTCAACTTTACAATGATACAATTGTCATTGACCCTCTCTGAGTTGTACACTAAACCCTGTGAAGTTATTTCTCACAAAACAGAACACAGATGATCTTTGGCAAGGTCTTCAAGTGCATATTAAGAATTCAATGGATTCTCCATTATGAATGATAGGTCATAGAGTTTTGAGCATACACACAACTTCCAAAGTTTGGTTGTGGTGGTTTATTATCATAGTTGCAGTATTGTTTTCATGGATGTCAAGACATGGTTGCAGCATATTTATGAATTTTGGCCCTTTGACACCAGCAAGAATTAGAAGCAGAGCTAGAAATGCTGGGGCTCTATTGGGCTGGAGCTCAGCTGCAGACTGAGCTCAACGGAGGAGCTTTGTGTAAATAGGTGGTGTTTTGTACAACTGGGTAGTGCTACGTACCAGAAAGGGTTTAGGCAGCTGAAAATGGCTACAGCAAGAGATTCAGTAATTTCTCAGACATGCATGACTGAGTCAAAGCAACACTCTGTGTGTTGTTTTTTATGAAGGAATGACATTATAACTTGATATAAAGCTCAAAAAAGTAGATTTTGTATAATATCACCCCCTTTAATGAAAAAAAACTGGAAGCCCAYTTCAAAGTATGACATGGAAATCTTCACATATCAAGAAGGAAGAATGTAATAAAACGACATGAGTAAGCAGAAGACAGGGGTTGACAAGTAGAAAGATCCATCAATAATCACGCCTCTCCAGGGACTGTATAGAAAGAGGAAGAAGCAGGTGGCAAGAAATTCTGCAAGTTCCTGTTGCAAGATACATCAAATTTCATTATCAAGAGTCTGAACTACCATGTGTACCAGACTCTCTGGGACATCACTGAATGTTGTAAGGAATCAAAAGCAAACATTCTGTGAGACAAAAAGACAAAACCTACAGTTATAATTCTAGCTAAATTGGACTAATCACATTATTTGTTAAATATGAGGTATGATACAAAATAAACTTTTTTGAGCTTTATATCATGCTATAATGTCATTCCTTCATCCAAAACATACACAGTGTTGTTTTGACTCTTTCATGCATGTTTGAAAAATCTTTGAATGTCCTGAGGTAGCCATTTGAAGCAGCCTAAATGCTTGCTTATACAGTGTCATCGCCCATGCATTGCTCATGRCCCCCAGAGCACCGCTTTCCCTCGCCTCCACCACTAGCAGGAGCAACAATTAGCAAACACCTGGTGGAACTGCTTGTCTGCTGAGTTTGTAATACTAACTACTTCTCTGTCCAGTCCTATTTGGATTACAAATGCCTTCATTGAAGGGCATGTATTTTTGGATGCCAAGATTAATAACTGACAACGCTCCTAGGCGAGATTGTCAATGGCACAAAGCATTGTAGTGAAGATGAGAGTGTTGGAGATAGAGGCCAATTTCAAGGCGTTTAAGTAGACTATGATATGAAGTCAGATTTATTTTTGATATGTACAGCATTTTCATAACAACTGAAGGTAACATCGTTACTTGATTGTGGAATAGAATCAATGTACGTGGAAAATACACAATACCCCTCCTTAAATGTTCTATAGATATTGCAGTTAACTCATAGCTTGAATGTCTAAGGGCACAACAGTTGTGCAGAAGAAATCTGACATTGTGACAGCCATTGTGGGACTTCAGTTTTCAAGTCATGGCCAACCAACCAAATATAATGGTTCTAGAAAAGGAGAGAAAGACAGAAGTTGTGATAAATGTGGAAATCCCCACTGACWGAGGCATACAGCAGAAGGAGCATGAGAAGATTGAGAATTACCAGAGGCTGAACAAACAACAGAAGATGGTGTTCAAAGTGAAATCCAAACCCCAGAAGAAATGGACTCATTAAGGGCTTACTCTTCATTTATATAGATGTAACAAATAACAGGATTCTCAATAAAGCTGCTGTGTTTGTAGGTTGAAACACAGTCAGTGACTGGCAGACTTCACACCTCGGTGCCATGAAGTAACAGTGGATAGTCATTGCAGGCTTGTGTCTTCACTTTGCACCTCCTCGCTCTGTTGGTACTTTATGATTGACTCAGCGTGTGGATGGTCCCTCTTCTCCCCAGTCTGTCAAAGGAGAGAAAATATGCTTCCTCTAAAAGTTATTAAAAGTGACAGAGCCTCTCTGCAGGGAGAGCAAAAATGACCTTGAGAAGTGTTGAAGTGCTGAGCTTGATGAGCAGATTTTGCCCAGTTTGTGTGGAAGTCTCTACCTGTCAGAATCAAATATCTGCTCTGACTTGTACAGGGCAGGATTTATACATTTACCTTTTGTAAGAGAAAAAAAAAAAAAACAGGGGAATGATGTAACTGAAGATGAAAGTATATAATTAATAACAAAAAAAGAGGCAAAAAAGCAGGCGATTGATATTCTTTTGGCTTCTTTTGCAAATTTATATTTAGCTTTTCAAAAGTCTTGTCTGCAGTCATCAATTTGCTGAAAGTTTGAGTCTCTTTACTTCATACACCAGCTTTCTGTTTCTGCATAAACATGTTTGTAAGAGATCCTGATATAGTAGGTACTGAAAACAAGAAATTAYATGCATAATAATTAGTTCTACAGCGGTAAAATAGTTTTAATAGTTTTAATCCTGGTTGAATTTTTGATAAATATCACTGGATAAATGTAAAGTTCAAAATTAAAACCAAAATGTTGCCAAACCGAGCCTGGTATAAAGGTTTCTTCAGCCTTGTGCTGGGTAGCAGTGTTTTGTATAACTTATAGTTTTATATATTCAGTTTATATTTTCAGTCATAAACTAATAAATACATCAGTGGCAGGCTGAAGTGTAATTTCCTGTCTGAGAATTTATCAGCATGCTGTCAGTGCTGTGAATGAAACTGTTGATCCTCTGATTAGAGGACCATCTCCCCACTACAAGAGGCTAAAGTCGTCCAAAGTAGCATTACAGGGAAAGGTTAGCCTGTCCTAATCTAAAACTCAATCTGGCACACATGAAATGTATTTTTAATGTTTTCGCCTGTTTTGTTTTGCACCATGTTCCTGACTGACCACTTCTGTGTCACTAGGCCTGTTCACAAAATAGTTACAACAGACAAGCTCCTCTGTGAGCTGCCTAAAGCCTGTATGTGGTTTGGCCTTGGCTGAATCTGTCTCCATTAGGTTCCAACTGTGCACAGCCATGCTGTTTCAGTACCTCCACCCTGGTGGTGCTAAGCTGGTAGAAGCGAGTACAGCACACTTACTGTTATGACGTCAGCAGAATGCTGTTCGTGGATTAGCTCTTGAATTGATTGACAGAGGAAAGGCAGTACTTGTGCAAACTTCCTCTGGAGAGAGACGCTTTTGTTTTGGAGTATGATCACGCGGCACGATACGACATGGCAAAACCAGTGATAAAACCATGGTCTAACTTGTTTGGGGATGTTGGGAAAGGGAGAACTTGCAAACACTTCCTGGAGAGAGGTGAAGGAGACAAAGCCGAGCAGCAGATACCATGATATGCCAGGAGATTTCAAACAAACTGGCTGCCCACAGTTACACCAGCATGTTTTAACAACACTGCAATAAAAAAACAATATTAAAATAAAAAAAAAGACAACAAACAAAAAGTAGTCCTACTGGTAAAACTACAACATTTTTTTACACAACAGCTGAAACCACTGTGGACGGTCCACCCATAATCATGCCCACAGAGTGAGGGACACACTGAGATGGACACACACACACACACACACACACACACACACACACACACACACACATACCTAAGCAGAACCGAACAGACCCAAAACCAAATAGAGTGGAACTCAAGTTCAAGTTCAAGAATTTTTATTATCCCCGAGGGGCAATTTGTTGTACAGCCAATATACATAATAACAACTAAACAAAAACATTCATACACAAAAATCACTTTGCTCATGGAGGAGAGGCTAAAATACACCAGTCCAGCCTACCACGTCCTGTGAAGGTGTATTCTTACAGAATGAATCCGTCATTGCAAAATGTGTGGTGTATAACTAAATAGAATTTACACATTAATGGCTCTACAGTAAAATGTATGTTGAATGTTTCTGAGTCAG